TGTGTACGATAATACCTATAACATCCAGCAGCTAATAGACGCGTAACGTTGTACAATCTATTATGTTTGGTATTAATGTATGTGTGTAATAATAAACGCTAATGATAAGACGAGCGTATAACTATTATAAACTAGTTAAATATACCGTGTATTTATGTCTGTGTAATTACGTTTTTATAATAATTGTATTCACCCATTCATTTTCGCATATCATTTTGTACATTGTACAAAACGTTTCGTTTTACAGCCCATGAACATAATATGTCTACGGGAAGACGACTAAATTAAAATGATAATAAGAATAATAATAGTGAAATATTGTATAACGTTATTCGGTGGTCAAGAGAAATCCGGAATAACTAACTATAGATGTAATAATACTACACGTAGGTACAGTATATAATAATGTACTACATGGTTGTATGCCGTTTACTTTTAATTAATAGAACATAATAATCCATGTTATTACATGGGTGACAAATTATACACATACATTAAAATTAAATTAAATAACAAAAAGATATGTTTTTGCAGTGAAAGAAAATACAGACTTAAATTCTAACGTTTCGTTGCAAATGACAAATTTAATATTTATATAACTAGCTATTAAAAACAATTTACTATTAACCTATTAGCGTGATTATGTGATTGATGGTGATGGTATAAAATCGTTGTTTGAATCAATCACATTTTACAAGTACTAAACACACATACAGAATTCAAAAACTGTCAATTTTCAGTGATGAAGACATTTCGTCAACTTCCGAACCATGTCAACGGTATAAAATAAAGTGACCGTAAACTATATCTGCAACCTACATCATTTTGTTCTAATCAGTTCTGTGAAATATGATATTATGAAAATTTTATTGTATTTAAAAAAAATATAGTCAACATTCAGCAGTTACCTATTTAACACTAAATCGAAAGTGTCAATCATAATAATTCTAACTTTTTTTTGTAAAACCGTCCTAAATAAATCAATTTTATTTTATTTTTTTAATTTTATTTTTTCATGTAACTTTAAAACAAATTACCATAGAGCCTTGACATTTTTACCGAATGTTTAAATTATCATTTTCTATGTATGGAATAACTTTCTAAATATTTAAACCCTTTTCGCATTATTTAAAGAAAATTTAAATGATTGTTTTTTTTCTATAAATGTCGATAAAAAAATTATCATTAGGTATATAATCAAATTGTCATTGAAAATGTAATACAAGGTTTCTCGTAAACTGGAATTATGGCAATTTCAATAAAATCCCAAAAATGTTTAAATAATTCTGTAGTTAAAAATGTATAAAATGTACAATTTTTATAGCTTAAAATTAAAAATGTAATATAAATGATCTCATAAATAATTCACAGTGTAATCAAAAGATCTTATAAATTTATAAACACAATTTTTTTATTAATATTTTAAGTTCATGTTTGAATAAAATTAGATAGGTATTTAAATTAAGAATAGAGATTTTAATTATATTGTAAATATTATTCATGAGTACTTGAAACTCTTAACGTATATCAGTATTATAATTTTTGAAGACAATGGAATTTTAAAATGTGATGTTTTCAGAAAAAAATAATTCGACCCACCGTATTACTAAGATTAAAATTAATTAAATAACAAAGTAATACATATTATAAAATATAGACTAATTGACCGTCTTCACTTAGAATCGTTTTTTGTATGCAATTATTTATCATTATATTCAAATTTAACTTATACATTACAATTCTCAATGACAAGATACACTCAAAACCTACTGTAAGAGTAGCAGAACATTTAGCTACTTTCCCTTTTTTTTAAATAATTGATGATTATACGGAAGTATTTTTCTAAAAAGTCTATTAATATATACATTAAAAAATAAACTGCTTGATATACTTAATATACAAAATATATGTTTTTTTAAATCGTCGTCGTCGTCAAAAAAACACAAAATATTAGTATCCTGAATTTAAAAAAATATCAGTGAACATAATAGTTCAAACTATTTAAGCGTATGTAGATAAACTATCTATTTTTAAACTTTTTATGAATATTATTATAATATTGAAGAATTTTTTAACCAATTTAAAATGTCAACGATTTTTACTATAAAAGAAATGAACATGATTTTTATATACTTATGTTTAGTAAAATAGTATATACAAGGGAATTCGGATACCCGATCTATGTAAAAACTCTAATTTGAAATAGTACAGGTGCAGCTTAACAAATAATAATAAAAACACACTAATGCGAATAATATTTAGATACATTTATGATAACAGTTTACCACTATTTACAAATCTATTACTGATTTGTAGGACATAACATCAAGTAGAAAATCATATTTTATTACGACCCGCGGGCAATCATCTATAAAACGAAATCCTTCAAAGTTCCACACAGTTTAAGCAAGTGAATTTTTTTTTTTTGCAAACAACACTTTAATAATAATACTATTATATTAGCTTTCTATTCCGCATGATCATTATTCGCCAACCCAGTCTGGTAGTTCGGAGTATAGACACATTCTGGCAATCCCACACCAGATGATTGGCCCGAAGCCCTGAGGAGACCGAAAATGACGACGTTTGCCCATTAATTATACGTGCGCACAATAATAACGTGATCGATATAATACGCGATGTAAGAACGGGTTTTATTGTACATGTACATACGCACATAGAAGAGTTGTGATTTTTCGACTGGAAAGCCGGAAGAACGTGACCTGACTCGACGTGTGCAGGAGTATATCCGGCGAGGAAATCGGAGAAAACAACCCCCGATTGTTGATTATTTCGTGAATGGCAAATTACGGGAAACGGAATGGAAAACAACCAGACAGTATGGGAACAAAAAATAATAATAATAGAATAAAAGAAAAAAGAAAACCACTATACTACCCTTATTTCGTATGCTACTCAGCGACTCCACCTAATGCGACAAGTTTTCCCCCGGATGACGACGATGGTAACAAAGCGAATGAATGTGATTGAATATTTTCCAATGAGACATATATTCTCCTCACATTCCATTATTATCGTTTATAATCATTGTAGTATTAGTACGAGTATGGAGTGTGTGATTTCTGATTTCAATGCGATAACTTGCCTTTAAAACGACGTCACATTATTTCTCTCAATGCCTACCAGTAGGTAGTCATCAGAAAAAATAAATGTTTTGATAGCATATGATGGAATAACATTCCCATACTACACAATATTATGATGTATAATTATTTCATCAAGTAAGTCATATAAGCTACACTTAAATTTAATTTTGATCAACCACCATAATAGTAGTTATTGAAACGATTTATGTCACTTATATAATGTATAGTAAAAATAGAAAATTATGTTAACTGAAAATATAATTTATTTTTACTAAAACAATAGTACGTATTATATCATCATAACTTTATGTAAAAATAATGTAATTTTTTATATATAATAGGTATTTGTAACATATTATGTTGCAACGTATACGTTGACTTTTATAATAATCACTGTTTATTTAAATCTGGTTATTGAAGTTAGTAAATTTTTGATGAATAATCTATCTATTTACAGAATATTTTATAAATATATTGTACCTCAATATTAATCAAGATAATGTATTAAAAAGATAGTTATTTGTTTTATTATGTCTCGTGCCGTCGTAAACCATATAAAAATTTGAATTGACCATTAAATTGGATAGAAATAACCATAACAAATACATTAATCATTGTTTTCTAAATATCGAATACCTATTTGATATGTAATATTAATACATTTATTATTTAAACGACATTATCTGATAGGTATTATCGTTATTATTTTAATGAGTTGCAATATTAACATTTGTCAACAAACCAAATTACTTACAATAGTAATAAGTACCATTGTAAAAGGATAAGTCACGCTCGAAAGCGGAAATGAGATCTGTGCGATTAAGAAAATATTCCATTCTAGACGCATTACAATTTATCTGATTTAAAATATTGCATTTTTATTGGTACATAACTTTTCTTGACTTATTAACTTCTCACTAAATAGTATTGCTAAGAAATGATTTCTAAGAACTCTATATTTGACATAAATAACGTAGTTAGCCTAATTAAACAAATGCACTGTTATTCAATACATTTTAATTAAAAATTAATTTACTTTAAATAAAATAGAATAAAAAGTTGTGCTATTATAATTAATATGCAAGACTGCAATAGTTAATATTATATTGATAAATTGCGCACTTTTTTGTATCTAAACATCTCGTTTTTGTATCACAAGGGATATAAACCAAATATGAAATAAGTATACATTGCATGTTACAATATAATGATAAGTGTTAAAAAATAAATATTTATAGGTACATGAATTATTTTATTACTATTAACTAAACAATATCTTAAAAAATAGTAAAATACCATGATTTTATGAACTTAGTATTTTTAACTGCAAGAACAAAATGTATATTATTTAATCATAAAATAATTTAAAATAATAAGTTTATAAATATTTAAAAAAAAATTTTAATTTTCTTGTATTTCCTAAAATATTTTCTAATATACCATAAAATAATTACCCAATATATTTCGAAACTCAAATGATGTTCATACATCGTATTTTATATAATTAATTCATTAACATTAACACTTTTTAAAAGTAAATACTGTATTATCTATGTACAAATATTACATAGGAATAAAGAAAATTCAATATTTATACCGTTTTTATACAGAGGATCATCCCTTCAAATAAATGTATATTTCAAAAATATACGACAAGGTCATGGATAATTTTGATTTTGCCTTTTTTTCCATTACTTACGGTTCACTTAAGATTAAATATCTAAATATTGATAATTATTGATAGTTAAACTGTCAATCGTCATTTACAATGCAGAAATCTTTCTAAGTCCGGACATGTCGGATTACGAAGAGTTATAATTATTGGCAGTCGTCTAAAATTATATGGGAAAGGATAACTATATAGGGATACATGTTAACTACAGCGATGTTTACCTGTGTCAATCGGAAGTCCATGGCGTATCCTTTTGAAACTTCGATGCGTATGTTTCGACAACTTGGAACCCTTTCCGGTTACAGGTGCCGGACTGTAACAGGCTGGTTGAAACCCAAACAAACGATTCGTATCTTTCAAGTGGAAAATGTTTCCAAATTTAATTTAAAAAAAAACAACCGGCTATCATCCGGATATCGGTACGAAAAGTTCGAACGATTAAAAACGCGCGATCACACACGTCACGTCGGTCTCGCGAGAGAGATATGATGTTTTTATAACGCAGCCGTTGGTGTGCGGTTGGTCATCGCACGATCGGAGACATAATGAGCCGGACCCGACGGTCGAGAAGGCTATTTATACGAAGGCAGCAATCGAGACGGTACGGACCCGCAGAGCAGACCGTCCAGTGGGCCGAGTGGGAGGCAGCTAGTGCATGTGTACCTATCTATACATACATTACCGTCATCGTAATACCGCGTTATGCGAACGGTATACGAAGTATCTACTGCGACCAGGCTCCAGTCCCGAGGTAGAGGTAACCACGCTGCCAGGGGAGTCGATCCGGCTCTGCGGTGGACGAAAGAGAAAGTGTGTTTTGGGCGCGCACGTGCGTATGATGCGATGCGTCAGTATATGTGTACAAGCGTAAGTACACGTACATATGTGCTTACGTTCAAACGTATGTGTGTGTGTGTGTGTGTGTTTAAGAAGAAAGCACAGGAGGCTACGGCCTTCGGAGACCTCATCGGTCGACAACCTTGAACCGGAGTGTCGGTTTTCAGTGATGAACCGTCAATATTCGGTAGTCTTGGGTTTCACGGACATGATTATTGTTATTTGGATCGATTATTTTATATTGTCACCGATACACCGCAGACCGCAGTAACTCGATAAACGACGGACGGCCAAACAGTAAAATAATTTATACCAAGACCGATTTTTTTTTATCGAGAACTGTCAAACACATGATAATATTATGATCGTGATATGACGACGATGGAATAGCGATCGTTTAAATATTTATCACGTGTTTGCATCAGCTGTTTTCCGATACGAATTTCGTAATAAATAATTAAATATTAAATGTTACCCAATAGTTAATTTAATAACTATAATGTATTATAGAAATAACACTTTTAATATTTCGTATTTCATTTTCTTCCGAATTGTTAGTGTTTGACGTTTACCTGCAATTGGTAGTTCCGTAACATCTCTAAATATTATAATATAGTACAGTAAACAGAGTTATAGTTTTATTTCCTTAATTTGCTTAATTCATTATGCCTGATTTGTGTATTTTAAAATAATATTGTCGGTTTTTTTTGTCTTTTATTGACTAAGTAGGTACATAGTAGATGGGTGTCACTGTATATTTTATACAAATAAAAATTTAATACATTTTGGTTCTAAAATAATCAATATTAATAGCACGTACAATTTAATAATTATAACTTTTTAACGGCAATTTATATTGTAATTACATAATTGAAAGAACGGTTAACATGAAAAACATAAATGAAAAATATTTTAGGTTAATCGGGTACCTATGTCGTTAAAATAATGTGTTATTTTTAATAGCCATATACAAATTAAAAGAATATATCGCCTAATTTCAAAAATATAAAAAATCAATATAACTTTGGTTTTAAAGTAATATTATTCCAACATCTTATTGTAAGTAATAAACAGCTGTAGTAAATAAAATTATTTATTTAAAATGCGTAGCTATACATATTATACGTATTACGTAAATACCTATTTTACAAGATAATTTAAGGCAGTATTTTTCTACCGGTGTTCCGCAGTACATAAGTGTGCCGTGAACTGACTGTAGGTGTACTGCGACCATTGTACATGCTTATAGTGTTATTAGGTATTAATTTTTAATTATATAATATATTAATAATAAAAAACAAAAATGAAAATAAAATGCATTTTTGTTTGTTTCTTATTATTGTATTACTATAGTGTTCCGTCAAACTGTATAGTTATAAGAAATAGGCCGTGAGCATAAAAAGGTTGAGAACCACTGATTTAAGGAATATATTATACATTACTACGTTTAAATATTATCATTACAAGTGAAAATAATTTTTTTTTTTTATAAAATTACCAGCGCTGCATCTAAATAAGCGTAAACTATACTAATCACAATATTATTACGCATTCAGTTACCCGCATAATGTATGTGTCGAAGAAATAATTAACAAATTGAGATAAAATAAATAGTAAATTACACGCTAAATAAAAAAAATTTAATATATCTCAATCAAAAGACTGTTGAGCATATTTCTGTAAAACATGTACCTAATACAAAACTACAAAATATTATACTTGTTAACAAAACTATTAATACTTGCAGATTGCAGTTAACTACAAATTAAATTACCAGAGTGTACCTATATAATTTGTAAACGACGCATAGATAATTTTTTTAAATAATAATACTCACAATATAACTAATAACTAATAAGTCATAGGTAGGTACCTATTATATATTACAGCAAAATATCAACATTAATGTCATTATACAAATAATAATCAATTGTTATTCTGTGAAAACCGTCCACTGTTGTTACACAATAATAATATGACGACATGTTAGATAACATATTAAAGTAGGTATGTGTTATAAATGGAACCCTTGAGTGTGGAAAATTTTACAACCATATTTTTTTCAAGATTTTATTGTCAATGCATTTTTTGCAAGCTGTAACAACGTAATTTTATCCCAAAACATTATCGTGTGTAAGTCTTCATTACTTTTATTATACGATTGTCTTAAACATATAAACAAGGTGACAATGAACATAACTTTAACCGATAACTGAAAAAGTAGCTTTCGATTTTTACGAGTGAACTATAATTTTCAATTGTTCGTGTAGACTGTAGAGAAATGAACAACTTTATTATGTAGGACGTAGTAGGTATGTTAAATAAAGTAATAATTATAGTGATAAACTATTCGAAGGAAATAACCTTAGTTTTAATATTATATTACCATTATGAAAATTATTCGTTACTTTTCCAAAAAAAAAAAAAAAAGTATATTATAATATAGAATATTATATTACTATACAAATTAAGGATAATCCAAAACGATTATTTTTGAAAGTGTTAAGTTTAATTATACATTAACATCTAATTAAACATATAAATATCAATGATTTTAATAAAATAAAAAACATTAAATTTAAATTGTCAAATTATAATCCTAGTTTTTTTAATGGATATTAAAATATAAATTTATGTAATGAAAAGATTTTGCTATTATCTCTAACACTCTTTGAAAAAGTATTAATGAAAAACTGTTATGAATAAGGAAAATTACAATCTACCAAAATGTAATTAAATATAGATGTCTGGGTCCGGAATCCTATAAAAATACATGGAAAAAGATGTGTTAGTTTTATTAATAAAATAATTATTTATTAATTTTTAATAAAAAATACAAAATAATATACAATTATTGACGTATAAGCAAGGTTTATGCAACCTAAAACAATACAAAAAAAAAATAAAAATACACAAAAATTATATTTTAAACATTATTGTCATATGAACAATAAAAAAATATTTTCTTTTTAATTACTTTAAGTAATGTATAATATATCACTAGATGTATCACTACTGAGCTACGCCATATATTTATAATTTCAAATTTATTATCGTTTTATTGCATTAAAAGTTTAAAAATTAAAAATCTACTCTAATTTCTCATAAAATTTGGAAAGTATATTGTGTTTGTTTTGTAATTCGTTCAACTTAACCGAAAACTGAATTCATAAAACTAAAGAATAAACGAGTTTCATATGTGTTTTTATTCATTGTATATAATATACAATTAATAAAAACACATATGAATATAATATTTGAATAAATACATTAAACGCAACGCCATATTGAAATAGGCTACAATAAATCACGGATTCGGGACTCCGGAAGAAATAATACTCTCCACAAGTTTGCAAGTATATATTAGCGTTAATACTTTAATAGACAAAGCAATATAATGATGTAATAATATAATATATTTAGATAAACATAAAATCACATCACTTGTCAGATTATGTATTAGAATAACATACTACGAATTTTAATTGTTGACTGTAGGCGGTTTATTTAATTTTAGTAACTACTGCGATAATTTTAGTATGAAAACATAACTCATGTTTAAAAAATAATAGTAATATTATTACCAGCATGTAATATTGTACAAGCCAATTTTTTTTTTTTTTTGTTTTACGCTCGTAAAACTATATTATATTAATACTTAGTTTTTGGGTTTCATTATAATTTCACCGAAATGTTTAAAATGGAATAAATTTACATCACTTTGTTATTCCTCTGATATTGGTTGGGTTAGTAGGTTAGGAGGTATATAATACATGGATGATGGTTTAACAGAAAAATATTTCAATAGGTATAATATATAGTTAGTAGCGGTATTCTGATTACCAGTGAAACACATTAAGACGACTAAATTGATAGAAATTCATGATAAATTAAACCACGCCCTATGGAAAATATACGTATGTATATAATTAGTATACGTTTTGAAGATATTAAATCATAAATCGTGTTAAATTGAAGTAAATTTCAAAAGTTAAACTTAATAAAGACCGAAAGCAATATCATGGCCAACGTTTAAACCATCTTTTAACATAATTATGTGCGACTGAATGACCTATAAGTATTGAAACTTATTTAGTATCTATATTCTAAATGAAGTAACTCAAAAACTATACGATGATGATTTATTGTCTGTCACAAAAAAACCTCGACGGCTCGACGCGTACATGATATTAGATGTATTAAACATTTTTAAATGTACACGAAAACAATATAGTTTATTACATTGAATGCAGTGGCATTATTTCAGTTTTCAATAGAGGGGAAGGGGGAAAGTTTTGAATGGCTCAAATAGATACTTAAAAAGAACCGCTCACAACAACATTTCTACTTACAATTTTATCAAATTACTTTTAGCAACTTGTATATTTTAAAATTTACATCACTTACTTTTTCTCTTATCCTTACAACAAAATATTTTTTTAACAACTAATAACATAATTTATGAGTTTAAATTAGTAGATATTTTGTATCGTATTTTATTTTAATTACAAATCTTATTATTTAAAATTAAATAACAAAAATATTTTTAAATTATTATTAGATATCTTCTTGTTTTGGTCTTTGAAAATATATCCACTGCACAGAAATAAAACTATAGATAGATTAAATTTAATCAGTTCTATGATTAAACTATATGATTACCAATATTTTCTTGATATAAGTAATATTAGTATTGTTGTTGTATATACATATACAATGAT